TTACATTATGGAACAATAACAACTTTAAGTTAAAAACAAAAAAAGTATTGTCAAATTCAAAATTAACTTTTCATTTTTGCGTCACACTTACCCCACTTTACCAAACCTACTTGTGTAAACGGAGACAACACATTCGAGTGCGATTCCTCCTGATGAAATACCTCGCTCAGCACAGAATTAGTGGCGTAGCGTGAGTTTCAGTTAAACCTTTGAGTGGAAAATCGTAGGCTAATAAATTCATAAGGGCTGGTTATTTTATTAATTTACATTTATTTTAACAACTACATAAAATCATCAATTAAAAATAAATTAATTCATCAAAATGTTTGAATAAAATAATAAATTGTTTAATATCTAAGTACGCGACCGCTGCAGGCAGAATAATGCAATATACGACGGTAGACCACGGTATTCGTATTAAGATGCTAATTAAAAATCACGGGGCCCTTTAACAAGCGCGGTCCCATTTGTCCTCCCCTAGCGCCGGCACTGCCTACATCTGACTTTAATTTTTTTTAGTATGACTTGAAACAAGTTGTGAACACATTCATTAGTTATAACTAATAATAAAATAAAAATTAAACCACCGTAAAAACAATTATAATTATAATTGTTTATTTAGTTTATATTTGTTTATTTGTATAGGTATTAGTTGCAGTTAAATTGTATGCCAAAGGTAGCTATCAACGTGCTACGGGTGATAATTTCGATTTAAATGTAAGTCAGCCATCAGTGAGTAGATGTCTTCATGCTGTCACCGACGCTATTAACAATAATCTCTTGAGACAATGGGTACGATTTCCTATGACAAATTTAGAAAGAAATAATGCTCGTGAAGAATTTTGTAATGCACCACAGCCGTTTGAAGGTGCCATTGGTGCTATCGATTGCACTTACATAAATATTCTAGCCTCTAAAGACCATGAAGAAGCTTTTGTTAACCATCATGGGAATCATTCATTGAATGTCCAAGCCGTATGTAAAATTATTTTAATAGTTTATATTATACTTTACAAATACATTTTTCAGGCAGTTAGCCCTAAACTAAAAATACTAAATATAAATGCCAGATATCCAGGAGCCAGGAATGACTCTTATATATGGAGCACTTCACCTATCCGACGTGCGATGGAATTCCATTATAATAAGGGTGAACGCCATACTTGGCTTATTGGTAATTATTTTGCAAATGAAAATCAAGAACATTTGGTCTTATATTAATTGTAATTTAGGTGATTCTGGCTATCCATTAGAGCCTTGGCTTATGACTCCACTGCCACATTATAGAGAGGGCACAAGGCAGTTCAAATATACAATGAAACACTGTAAAGCCAGAAATATTGTAGAGAGATTCTTTGGAGTTTTCAAAAGTGTTTGGAGATGTCTGTATTATCAGCGTGTATTAATGTATGCACCCGATATGGCTGGTAAAATTGTTAACGCTTGTGCTGTCCTTCATAATATGCGCATCCATTACCGTATTCCTATAGATGTTGAAAATATTGAAAATGGAAACAATGATGAATATGCTATTAGGAATTTTCAACAAAATGAAGATGAAATAGCAGAGAGAGGAGGACCTAGAGCTGTTGCAATGCGAATTCAAAAACAAATACTCCAAAATTGGTTCCATGGATACATTGATGGTGATGCTTAAATATAATAAACAGAAAATAACAAAACAAATAAATTTATATTTATCTTTAAAAATGTGTAACAAACTCAAAATAGTTGTATGCTTTGTGTAATGTGTTGAATAAAATCTTATATATAAAAATGAATCGCAAAATGTGTTGGTAAGCGCATAACTCAACAACGCCTGGACCGATTTGGCTGAAATTTTTTTTTAACTGTTCTGAATTGCCAGGAGAAGGTTTTTATGAACGAACATTTTTAAAAAGTCTACCGAATAAGTAGAAAAAGTGCAAAAAATATTTATCGATGTCTGTGATTTGAACCCGATAACGTTAAAATATAAAAAATAAATTAAAACTATAATATTTTTTTGTTGCCATGGAAATGTTATAGACAATATTTATTCAATTTAATTGTTTGAATAAAATATAAAAAAATATTACTGGGAAGACCTTAAAAAAATTTGGATTAAAAAAACATAATAATTTAATTTTGATATGCCTCCTATACGATGAAGCAATTTAGGTAGAATAACCCGAAATGCTACCAACCAAGCTATTTACCGATCTAACCAAAGTCCACAAGAACGTGACGACAGAAATGAACGTGAAAGAATTCGGATATCACAAACGCGTGAAGTGCGAACGCGAAATTCAACTAATAATCGCGCAAACTTGAATCGAGCTGCTTTTAGTTACGATGTGTCAATTTACTACAGTAACTACCAGTGTGTTGTTATTGGTTCTATGAACTCAGTTTGCTCATATTGTAAGGCTTTGAATTACAAAAACGAGGCCAATGGTTTTTGTTGCGCAAATGGTAAAGTGAAATTGATACCATTGGATCCACCACCAGAGCCGTTGTACTCATTGGTTTCAGGAATAGGAACAGATTCTATAACTTTTTTGACAAATATCCAACAATATAACAATTGCTTTCAAATGACTTCATTTGGGGCAACAAATGTAGTTCGTGAAAGTTTTATGCCAACTTTCAAGTTATGTATTATAGCAGTTAATCATAATTATTTGTTGATCATTTTTATATTATAGATTCAGTTTTAGTGACACCTTAATTATTTTGAAACACAATATAATTATTTGATGATTTAAATATTCATAGGTTTTAAATTTTTTATTCGATTCGTCTCGAAATGTACATTAAATTGTATTTATTCAATTTTGTTACAACTAAATTTTACATATTGAGGTACATAATCATATTAAATATCATTTTGTCATTCAAATTAGGAGACAGATATAATTTTTAAGAACAAATATTATTTAAGTTTGAACACTGACAATCCATAAATTTATATAACATAGTTGCTTATTTATTTGGATGGTAAATGTTCAAAATGATATCCAAGGACGTTAATATCAGAAACAATTACTGTCAATGATGGTTATCCACTGTATCGTCGCCGATCAAGAGTAGACAATGGAAGAACGACAATTGTCAAATTAAATCAACAAGATATTGAAATAGATAATCGTTGGATTGTTCCATATTCACCAATTTTATCAAAGACGTTCAAAGCACACATAAACGTTGAATCTTGCCATTCAGTGAAATCTATTAAATACATTTGCAAATATGTAACCAAAGGGAGTGATATGGCTGTGATTGGAATTTTTGCCGAGAATTTCAATGATGAAGTTACCCAATACCAAATGGGCCGCTATGTTAGTAGTAATGAAGCAGTTTGGCGAATATTTTCTTTTCACATTAATGAGAGACACCCTTCAGTTGTTCATTTAGCTGTGCATTTAGAAAATGGACAAAGAGTGTATTTTACACCACAGAACGCAGTACAAAGAGCAGCTCAGCCACCTTCTACTACATTAACCAGTTTCTTTGAGACATGCCAAAACGATGATTTTGCACAAACATTGTTATATTCTGAAATGCCAAAATATTATACTTGGAACAAATCCTCAAGGAAATTTATACGACGGAAACAAGGAAAACCAATTCAAGAATACCCAGATGTATATTCCACCGATGTGAATTTATTCAGTACATCCCAGCAATGATGAATGTTTTTATTTACGACTGCTATTAGTCAATTTACGTGGCCCAACATCATTCCAACATTAACGAACTGTTGATGGTGAATTGTGTGGATCCTACAGAGAAGCCTGTCAACGTTTGCAATTGCTAGAAAATGACGATCATTGGGATCAAACTCTAAATGATGCTGTAATATCATCAAGTGCTCAAAAAAATACGAACATTGTTTTCTATAATCATATGTACATGCTACCCATCAAAGTCAATCGATTTGTGGATCAAGTACAAGGATCATATGTGTGATGATATTTTGTATCAAATACGGAATAGAATGGGAAATCTAAATATACAAATCAATGAAGAAATTTTTAACGAAGCATTGATTTCAATTGAGGACGTCATGTGCTTGATGATGTCAAACAAACTATTAATTCAATTAGGCCTGATCGTGCCCATTCGTCCAATGCATGATGTTTTTAACAAAGAGGTGCACCGAGAAAAAACCAGAGTTGAGATGTTTAAAACATGTTTTAAACATCTAAATTGATCAAACATGGTTTTGTTTAAAACGTTTAAAACAAATAATTTAAACAACATAAAAAAAAAACAGTTTAAAACAGAAAATCATCATTTATGTGCATATAACTTATTATTTGTAAGTTCATACTGGCAACTCATATTTATTATTATTTTTTATTTCATAAACAAATTTAAAATGTATAACATTTATAATGATAATTTTAATTATTTAAATTACTAACACTTCAATGGTTCTATAATATATTACTTCTGTAGTTCTGTAGGTAATATATTTATTAATTATTTATTTATTTGTTCAAATTACATACCAATAAATAACATAACAATTAGTAATTAGTAATTAGTAATTAGTTGTATTCCAATATAAAAAAAAAAAATATATATATATAAATTAATATCAACTTGATAGGTAACATAATATTTAAATATCACAATTGTCTTAATAGTTAATTGCATATCTTAGTCCGTGTCGCAAACCCGCCAAAATTGAAAATAGTAAATACAGTAATCAGTATTCTTTATCACGATGTAGATAACAGATCAGTTCTTTATCAAAATATTCAAAAACGATTTTTAAGTGTAAAACCGATAGCCGTGGTTAAATTACACGTCAAGTTATAAAAAAATTATGATATTAAATTATTAAATAAATGATTTTTTTAAAATAAATTACATATTTTGTTTTAAACTCGATTAAATCATGTAAACATGTTTAAAACAGCTGAAAAAATCATTTTAAAAAAACATGTTTTAAACAAAAAAATCATGTTTTAAACGATTAAAACAATTTTTTTGATTTTTTTAAAAAAATCATGTTTTTAATCAACTCTGGAAAAAACGTTTTCAACACTTTGAAAGAATTAATTCAAAAAAATCTTCCACTGTTGAATGAACAACAGAAGTATGTATTTGATACTCTTATGAAAGTAACAAATGATGATACTGGAGGGATATATTTTTTGGATGCACCTGGTGGTACAGGAAAAACTTTTTTGATTTCATTAATATTATTAACAATTCGTTCACAAAATAAAATTGCACTTGCACTCGCTTCCTCTGGAATCGCAGCAACTTTGCTTGAAGGTGGTCGAACAGCCCATTCAGCACTAAAATTGCCATTAAATATGCAAAGCAATGAATTTCAAAGCTACAACATTTCGAAGAAATCTGCAATTGCAAAAGTTTTGCAGAATGTCAATTGATTGTTTGGGATGAATGCACGATGGCACATAAAAAATCGTTGGAGGCTTTAGACAGAACCTTAAAAGATATACGGGGCAATCATAACCTATTTGGCGGTGCAATGATTTTATTAGCAGGAGATTTTCGGCAAACATTGCCAGTGATCCCACGATCAACGCTAGCTGATGAACTTAATGCATGTCTAAAATCATCCAATTTGTGGAAACATGTCAAAATACTTCATTTAAGCAAGAATATGCGTGTCGAGTTGCAAAACGATCAATCTGGAAAAATATTCTCTAAACAACTCATAGACATTGGTAATGGCAAATTTCATGTAGACATGTTGACCGGCTGCATTAACTTTCCTCGAAGTTTTTGTCAGTTAACTCGATCAAAAGATGAACTTATTCAAAAGGTGTATCCAGATATTGCTCTCAATTACAGAAACCATGATTGGTTGAGCGAACGAGCTATATTGGCTGCAAAAAACATAGATGTAAATGAATTAAATTTAAAAATTCAAGAACAAATTACAGGTGAATCGAGGATATATAAATCAGTTGATTCGGCAACTAACCAAGATGATGTAGTCAACTATCCACCGGAATTTTTAAACTCGCTGGATTTACCAGGATTGCCACCTCACAATCTTAAATTAAAGGTTGGATCGGTTGTTATAATGTTGCGAAATATCAACCAACCGCGTCTGTGCAACGGCACACGGTTAGCGATAAAAAAATTACTGAACAACGTGATAGAAGCAACTATACTGAAAGGAAAGTTTAAAGGAGAGGATGTTCTCATACCGTGCATCCCAATGATTCCGACTGATGTGCCATTTGAGTTTAAACGCCTACAGTTTCCAGTGCGGCTTGCTTTTGCTATGACCATAAACAAGTCCCAGGGGCAATCATTAAGTGTTTGTGGTATTAATTTGGAAAACCCATGTTTCTCACATGGTCAATTATATGTTGCCTGTTCCCGTGTTTTGTAACCATCAGATTTGTTTGTCTATGCGCCAGGTGATCAAACAAAAAACATCGTATACCACAAAGCACTACAATGAATATATAACTGATTTTTGTTAATAATTATAATTGAAATGATTAACAAAAAAGGAATTCCTTACTTATAAATGATTATATATGTTTTATTTAATTATTTTTTATTCACAACGCACTATCACCAGGGTGACGGTTCTGTTCAGGAGAATTTTTTGCGTCAAATATAACATGTGTAGGAACAAAAAATTGCAAAATTAAAAATCTACTGGACAGGACGAGTCAGGTGACGGGGAGGTGATACACAAATATGTAATTATATTTGTTATTTTTATTCATTGAAGAGGTACGATTTTTAACGAATAAATTTTGAACACCATACACCGAATATTAAATAACGAATTGAACAGAGTTTGAGTCATAAAGGGTTGGCATACATTTAACGGGAAACGAAGTGCACGGGATCAGCTAGTTATAAAATAAAACAAAATACTTATTAATATTATCACTTCTTTTGACTAAATATATAATAAAAAAAAAACAAAACAAAGAATTTAATTTAATTTTGAAATTGTAGCAGATAATAAATTTACAAGTTGCTCATCTACTAATAGTCTTTTTTCGTCGTTTTCACCCATTTTAGTGATTGCAGCAGCCATTTGTATGTTGCTTTCAGCTATCATGCTTAAATAATTTGTTAACAGCTAAAAAAGCATTTAAGGATGATTAGGTATATTATAGTAAAAGTAAGAGATATTGGAAAACAAACCTCAATTTGTTGGTTGCTTGTTTTGGCAAGATTAGTGAATATTTCACGCGCATTGGAAAATTGTGTGGTAAGTTTGACATCTATTATTAAAAATTGTAATTAATACTATTAATTATTCTGAGTAATTTTCAATTACTTACCACATTTTTTCTTTTTGGGATTAGTGGCAGTAGTAATATTTGACAATAGAGGTTGTGTAGCCAATGAATTGTCTGGTGTAAATGAAGTACAAAAGTCAGGTACTGCGATCTGTGGCACTGACTCACAAGTCGGTGACATCTGTTGTGATACCTCCAGGATGTTGTCTAAGATTTCCACAGTATATGAATTTAAATCATTTGCATCTGGGTTAAGTATTAAAAACATTTATTAATGCATAATAAATATCAAAAACATATTTTTGAATAGGTTATTTTTTAATAATGAGATATAATGTAAAAATTATTTTTTCTATTAGTTTTTGATTAATTAGTTGAAATTGAATAACAAACCATTCATATTATGTTCATCATGGTTTGGCCTTATGGTTAGTGGAGTAGGTACTATATTCAATATACTAATATCACCGTTTGCCAACTGTTCAACATCATTATCCTAAAAAAACAATACATAAGGGCTCGAGATAGATAAAATAATAATAAATAAAAATAAATTTACTAACCAGTTCTTCTGGCCATGAATCTGGGCATGTCGTCCCCTCAACCTAATCAAACCCTACTATACCTAAAACTTTATTGTCCATCTCAGTCAATTCGTTGAATTGAATATGTTTATTTCCGGTCTGTCTTCTTGAGTTCCTTAACACTGATGCATTTTTTGAGACCTTGGTCTTCAAATCTCTCCAAGACTAAAAATAATATGAAGATAAAACAAACAAATTCGTTTTGAGAAAAAGTGACTTGAAGTCTAAGATATGTGAAAGAGTTTTTTACCTAAGCGTTTGAAACTAAAATTTAAATACTTGCAAAGATACTTTACAATATAACTTTTTCGTATATTATGAGATATTCTCTTAAACCTAAAAAGTTAAGCTTTTGGCTTTTTACAATATTTTAAGTAAATGCAAAACTACCATATTTTGGGATGTGGCTGTATTGCATCCAAAAATTGATTTTAAGACAGCCATATACTTAAATATAGCAGAATTGCATTTCATATTGTGGCTACAATATAACAATGTATAAAATGTAATACTACAACAACCCTAAACATTGCAGTTTTGCACTCGACGTATGTCACACAGTAATTAGATTTTATTTATGAAAAAAACCATACAATTCGAAGTAAGGAAGTATTGAATTTTGACTTCAGTGATTAATTGCATAAATTAAAATAAGTATAAGTACTGTCATAAACTAAATATGGCTCTCTAACTTTGAAAAAAAAATACTGACACTTCTTTTTAGTGGCTAAATGAAAAATGATACTAAATGTGGTGGCGTTCTTGCATTTTATAGTCATGTCTTGTTCTTTGCAGTATTGTTCTAGAGGTTTGATTTGCATTATATATCAAAATACAAATAATCGAGCGGGTACAGAAGATTGTTATTTTTTTAAAAGTCCCAATTCATTGTAACCAAATAAATATATAATATAATCAAATACCTATATACTTATATTATTATATTTTGAGTTTGTATTAAACTTAAATGTTAACAAAAACATTATTAATACAAATAAAATAATTTAAACTGTAGGTTTTCTCAATAATTAATGAAGTCCTTCATTCAGTATTTTGTAGATATGAGTTGACACTTGACAGTTTGGTACAAATTCAGAAAACAATTCTTTTATAATTTCCAACACTTGAAATGTAAATACAATAAACTTTGGCTTATAACGATAGTACTACACCTAGTATATTAATAAAGCAGTGGTATAACTCTTCATTCACAAAAAAAATCACCAAATAATGATAAAAGGAAAACCCACGGTGTTAAGTTTAATATTTTATTAATGTAATGTTTTAAAATGTATTTTCATTACCTCTTTCCAGGATTTTGTATTTTTTTTCTTTTACACCAGGATTCCGAAGGTTATGAGGTGTTGCACCAACTCATCCCACGAGCCTTCGAGGTCATTTTTTCCGTTAATTGTTCTAAATTTACCAGTGGCGACATGAGGGTGTTGTACCATGTAGTCTACCATAAAAGTTAACTGTTTATCATTTATTCTGCCTTGTCTTGACGTTTTTTGATTAATCTCTTGCTCATCATTTTGAGATATTCTATGATAATTCAAATTTAAACAAACAGTTAGATGTTATAAAAACGCAAATAGCTAGTTAGTAAACTTTAAATAATATAAGTACTTAAGATTGAGTAGCTATCCTCTTCATATTTAGAATCAAGTATAACTGGTATAGACAGGTAGACAGGTATAACAATTAACAGGTATAACAGGTAGACAAGTATAACAATCACATATATTCAGTTTTTTTTTTAAATAATAAGTACACGGAACAAATTACGAGTGTGAAGTAACAAATTCGTTTTTCGTATTAATTTAAACGAAAATACGAACTAAAATTAAATGTAATTTCCTGTGATAAAGAATCATGATAAGAATACTTCGCGCACTGTGATTGGATACAATTTATAAACTCCCAGAAAATGATCATTAGGTGATGATTTCCTATCGTCTTGTTGGTAACGAAATTTGTAAGCGCAAACTATCGATAGAGTCATTTACAGAATCACTTAGTCGATAACTAAATTCAATACATTTTAGAATATGTCGATAGTGATCACTATCTAATAAATTCGTTAACAAGTTATCGACTCTCAGAATCGAGCTGCAGGGGGAATCAACCTTGTCAACGGTTTACTTGCAAAGATATTTGCACATAGACAATAAGGAGGTGCGTTACCCCAGCACCCGGACCATTAAATTTTCACGAATTTCAACTTTGCACCGTACAGTATTATGTACTTTATTTTGTACAATTTTGTACAACCAAAATTAAATTTCGTACAACACTCATACCCCCCCAAAATCCAAATTCATCTTACGGGTGCTGCGGTAACGTTACCCCAGCACCCGGACCATTAATATTTCACGAATTTCAACTTTGCACCGTACAGTATTATGTACTTTATATTGTACAACTTTGTACAACTATCTTAGGTAAGCCCCCCCCCCCCAAAAAAAAAAAGTACTAATTCATCTTATGCATGTTATCGAGTATCTTGTATCAATATTGTATCTAAGATACAGATCAACCTTGTATGTAGGAATAGTTGTTGTTGATTAATTTATTATTCTATAATTATTATAATTTTATCTTACTAGGTAGATTCTAGAACATCTATGTTAATACTTTTTTTTTAAACTTTGGCTTTTTCTTTTCTCTTGAATATCATTCTCTACTTAAGCACAGAACTGTTTATTTTATATTTTTCCTTTTGTTTATTGCTCTACAGATAATCAATATCTTATTGATTTCCGCTTTACCTCTTATGCCATTAACACCATTGTCAATTTTAATCTATTTCTGTCTTTTTTATATCAAACTTGTGCTACAATATTTTAAGTAGGTAATAGTTATAAAAAAATAAATAAAATTCATCAAAAACTTTATATTGTGTATATTAAAAACTCTACATTTTGTTTTTTTCCATGGGGATTTTTTGTAGCTGTTTCTTTAAGGTCATCGTACACTTCCTACCGATCATTGTCTCGCCATACTATTGCCTTATAATGGCCAGTGGATACTCTTAGACCAGAGCGATCCCCACTTACAAATACGATTGCACTTCTTAAATAATATTCTTTTGTTTTTATTATTAATATTTTCGGTATTGCCTCCAAGTCCCATAAAACTGGTTTTGTATAATTTTGTGGAACATTACAGATGTCAGAAATGTCTGCGTAACTTGTCGATGCTTCAAGTTCTTCAAAATACAAGTTAGTAAATAAATTTTTTTTAGGAATTTTGGTAATATATAATAATTGTAAAGTATGAAAGTAATTTATTTTACCTTTTGGAAGTGACAAAAGCTCAATCAATATATGGGATTTTGGATTGAATGTGTATTTCCTTCTTGACGGACATTCAATACAGTCTATTTCTTCAGTTGAAAAGTATTTTTCAATTTCTTCTTGTACATTTATGTAACCATCAAAAGCACATAACGAAAGGACTGGGTATTTTTGTACAGTCATATAATTAGGACATAACATATTTTTGCAAACATTCACTTTTGTATATGATGGCAATTTGTTGAATAGTTTTGTTGCTGTAGATTTTAATGTTCCCATAACATCAATTAGTTGTATATTACCTACTAGAGTATGCTCTTTATCATTATATGGGTAATGCAGTGCCAATAATTCTATTCGTTCTTTATACAAACTAGTTATTTTTACATTTTTTGTACTTAACATTCTAGTTATAAATTTTGCTGTTCTATCAGATTTTTCATTTTTTACCAAGAATGAGAGATAGTTACTACTGTCTGCAGCTGCATAGGCCAATGATGTTAATATAGAATCAACAGAACAAGTATTTCTTAATACAACTTTTCCTATGTTTTTTATTGTTTGAGGCTTGTTGTTAAAAGTATTTCCATTTTTTAAAAATACAATTTGTTTTTCTGATCCTTTTTTATTGAGATTGAGGTTCTCAAATCCTGCTTGTGGATTAAGGTAAGATTTTTTAGATCGACTATTTTTAAATGTTGTTGACTTCCCTTTCTTTTGCCATTGTTCTTCTGCATTTGTTTCTGTATTACATTCTACACAGGTCAAACAAATCCGTGTCTCAACATATTCCTCATCACTATCTATATTTTTTACTGAACAGCCAAATGAATGAACTGGCTTGGTACATTGTACACAACGATGGGCTCCTGTAGGAAAATTACCATTACTACACGCTAAACATGGATGTAGGATACCTGATACTTCTTCATTGATTTGTTGATTTTCATTTAACTTTTCATCTAAATTGTTAGTAACTGTATAATTACAAATGTATGTATTTGAATTTTTATCAAGTGTCACTGTATCTATGTGAATTTTATCAATGTTTTCGTACTCAGCATCAGCATTTTCATTATGAGTTTTACTGTTGTTAAATTCATTTCCATTTTTTAAAAATACAATTTGTTTTTCTGATACTTTTTTGTTGACATCGAGGTGCTCAAATCCTGCTTGCGGTTTAAGGTAAGATTTTGTTGATAGACTATTTTTAATTGTTGTTGACATCCTTTTCTTTTGCCATGGTTCTTCAGCATTTGTTTCTGTATTACATTCTAAAAATGTATTTGAATCTTTATCAAGTGTCACTGTATCTATATGAATTTTATCAACTTTTATATACTCAGCATTTTCATTCTGATTTTTACTATCAGAATCGCTTGATTGATTTGATGGAATTGTGTTAGTGTCATATATTTTTTTAAGCGGAATATTATTTTGTATCAGTAAGTGATCGCCTTTATAATAAGAAATAATCTTGTCTAAAAATGTATCAATTCTTAATGGTAAATTATCACTTTTAAAAACTCTATTTTTTAGTTGATTGAAATTACTTTCTATCCGGGAACTGGAAGCTGAAGCTTCTCCAAAACCAAATGTTTTTCTCATGATACCTGACCAACAAGGATATAACTTCATGGACTTAATTATAAGAGGCACAATTTCTGGAGTATATTGTGCATTGTCAATATCACCTTCATTTGTTTGAACTTCCATTTTACATTGCTCAGCTATTGATGATGCCCAAATCTCAAATGAACCAAAAAAATCTTCACGTAAATCTTCAAGATCATGATCTTCGGAAAGTTCTTTGGCTGTACTATTTTCATCAATAAAGGTATCATACTCCTGCAGGTATGCCATTTTATTGGAAATCAAAGATTGCAGATATTTTTTACTCGAGGCACATATAGTATCTTCTGTTAATTGTTTATTTGATATTAAAATACGACCATCGTATTGACTTAAAGCTACATTAAAAATAGCTTTGAGTATTTTATTGGCTTCTTCAATTGAATTACAGTATATTAATAGTGCCATGGATCTAACAAACAGTGATTTTGTTCGAGCAAACTTAACATTTTTCAAAGGAGTCCATTTTGTTATTAAATGAATAAAATGGTTTACATCATTTCTAATATAGCATGTGGATACAGAGCAAGTTCTATCATTTGGGTTAAAAATTAATTTGTAACATGATTCTAAGTATGCCTGTAGTGACTTGTATTGTGTGAATGATTGAACGATGGCTGACATTAGTGCTAATGATTGATCACATACAATCATTTTTGGTGGTTTAATGCCACATCTAAGCCAACGGTCCAACCAAGAGTATATGGATAATGTATCATGTTGTTCTGAAATCATTGATAGTGCAGTAAATGTTTTACCTTCTATTTCCATAACACCTTCATACAAAAACAGATGACTACTTTGATCGCCATTTGACCTCTTAATTTTCTTACAACAACCACCCGTTGCATCAAACGACATAGTTGGTATTTTGACTCTAGAATAGCATTCTTTGTATATCTGTAATTGCAGGTTGCTCCAAAAATGAACAAAAAACCCATCGTATCCAACATTTCGAATAATTGAGCAATAAGTTTCACAATGTTTCATAATATTTACAGCAACTATTGGATTGGAATGATACCGTTCGGCATTCACTGCTCTACTCTTAGCTGTTCTTAGAGTTTGATTGTTTGGTATTTGAGCTGGGGTAGAATCTCCTAAAAATATATTTTGTTTATTGTTTATTAAATGTATAACATTATATTATTATAATGGTTCATAATACTATAAAGTAACTATGAGAAAATATTTTTATTGAAATGCAAATATTTTTATACAAAGCAGCTATGAATTGCTAAGAAGAAATATTCTTTTCAAAATGTTGAAAAATAAAAAAATATCTAAGGGTACTAAAATTATTTCTTGATCTTGTTTTTAAAATATTGTATTTTATGAATGTAAATGGACAAGGTTTTAAAGAAATTACAATGTGTGCAATAATTAGAACGAATCCAAAATAATTATAACAAAAGTTATTAATAGATAAAAGATGATGTGACTTGATTAAAGCATTGGCGTAGCAAGGGGGATGTTGTAAGGGTCTGGGATGTTTTAAAAAAGGAATTTGATTCACAAAAAAAAACTTCCTACTTAGTATAAAATATACATAATATAGTAATTTGAATGATATGCTGTTTCTTCATATTAGAATTATAAGCGTTATAATATATTTTTAAAACCAAACACTTCAACAAAATTAATATTTTTTTTTACTTCAAGCATTATTTTATACATAATTTAATCGGTAGCCTAAAATATTGGGGGAAAAATGTGATATCATTTAAATTACCCTCTTTCATCAAACGTTTTGCTTCCTTGCGGTTGAAAACTGAAGGATCAATATGTTTATCAAGCATTGCTGATACAGCACGGATTTTTTGAGTGCCCATTAACTTGCGTTTTTTTGAATGTGAGATATTATAGGAACCAGAATATCTACATTCCATTATTACTCTGTAAAAAAAATAACAAATTAAGTTAACTTATGATTGTTTTTAAACTTTTATCAGCTCACACCATTGATATCAAATTATTAAATATACAAACATAATTGTATATTATCTTACCTAGAATCATTGTCAGGAATTTGTTTTATAGATCCTTCAAAAACTGAACCACAATCAGAACAACGACCACGTACTGATATGTATGTCCCATAATTTACATTAACGTAAGACTTTTTAAACACTAGACAACATGGAAGTCTTGTGTGCATAAAGAAATGTTCTTGTACGATATTAGTCCATTCATATGGAGACATTATTTGATATGTTCTTGGACCTTGTTTTTCCTCATATGTTCTAGATTTAGGCTTAATAGCTTGCCATTCGTTATCGGAAAATGTAATAGAAAATTCAAGATCATTAAATACAACTGTCTCATCATCATCTGTGCAAGGAGAACAAACTAAAAACCAATATAACATAATAATTAAATAAATATTTACCTAAATTAAGACATTATGAAACTTAGGAAGTCTGATAACTAAGTCTAATTAACTAGGGGTAGGTACTCTAGAACGAATTATTTATGAATACAATTTTATCAAAATAACATTTACCTGTACTAAAATCATCTTTATTTTCCTTTGATGATATCAGTCCCAATTTGTTTCCAATTCCACCACGATTTAGAGCAACTCGAACTCTAAGAGCTGCAGGAGTGATGTTCTTATTATATTTACTACTGATATTGAATGAAATATTTTTCCATACATCAGATTTTATACCAACTATTTCTATTGAAAAATAAAATGTTGTGAAGTAATAAAACCACTAATAAATGAATTATATTTAAACATTTGTAATGTGTATACATATACATTTAAGTATGCAAAGGAACCATTCTACAGCTGTACTCTTTTTTAAGAATTTGTAAGACAATCAGAATATGTTTTTGGACCACATAACTAATTTTATTTCATATTTCAGATGTTTAATTGTACAACTATTTATTAGTTATGTATGTGTTCTATTATTACTCAATATGATAAGTACTTACAACTTACTAAAAACATTGTAAGAATCATAATTTTTTTAGCGCTTATTCTGCAAACTATGTCTTATTCTTTGAAGGTTATAACAAAGTTATATAGTTTAATACCCTGTTTAATATGAAAATAATTTATCACATTAACAATGCAAGGTAAACTATTGAATTATAATTTATTTGATAAGGTTAAAACTCAAATTTTGTCAAATTTAAAACAAAAATGTCCTCCCTCGTCTAGGAAGTATAATATTGTACTCTGAACCTTCGGTGACTATTATTAAATTACCTGACAATTTTTTTTTAGATTTTTTCAGTAATTCATATTAAACTGAATAAATTGGTAATTTTCAAATTGAATAATAGTGTACCTATATTTTTTGACTTATCTACATATTATAATATAGGACTTTTTAAATTATAATTATTAATAATAAAATAATTAGTTATATTCAATTTTATTCAGTAAAGAAGTTTTAATTATGATTTGTAAAATAGTTGTATGATAAAAAAACTGTATAAACCAGTTTAAATTAAAATTTTTAATTTTAAATTTTCACTTTTGTGAAAAATAAAACAATAAATTAAATAATTCAAGTTACCCCTGTACTATATAGTTGAGATTTTATGTGAAGATAAATATTATTTACTGACTTTACTCTTTGGTTTTTATTTAACAATAATATTATTGATCAAATTTGCAAAAAAATAAATTTTAAATCTAAAATCTAAAATAAACATATTATATTTTTTGGGAATTACAAATTATACCTAATAAAAGGTTATACTATCATAGATACAACTATATTTAATTTTATATTGTTATTTTCTACAAGTCATTTATTGACTATTTTTTAATCAATAGAATAAATCTTTTGCTTGTGTACATAAAATAAATTTAATAAATTTAATTGTAGTTAATTATAGGGAATTGAAAAGTTTAAAATGTAGAGCCTACACATTTAAAATGGTTGAATAGGTAATTGAATGTATTAAAGCTGTAGGTATGTTGAATCATACATTGCATTGTTTATATTATTTAGATACCTATACTAATACAATAATACTTACTATAGCCATCAAAAATAATTTGATCTTTCAAATTGAAAATTTCATCATCAATATTTTGATTTAAATTATTTGGTTTTCTTCCTCTATTATCGTTTGCCATCACTTATTAGAGTAATACACAAAGTTTTAACTTCTAATTATATTTTAATATAAAACAAAATAAATTCAAGTAAATAATTATACCAAATACACGACATAAATGTAACTTACTTACAATGATCACAATTTTGAAAAACAGAAATACGTTAAGACATTAGGCGGTAGGTAGGTACCTTCAAGTTCATATTGAAACCAAATACATAGGTATTATTTTAGACAAAAAACATATTGCATAATATTCATTAGTAGGTAGGTAAATTACTAGAATAAAATGAATCTATGAGTCAAAATATTAAACACGTTTTGTTGTAGTAAAGCTTAGAAGCGCGACAACAGGAATAGACGAATTGTCGACAATGTTCAATGTAGCAATATGTAGCATAATGCCCACGTTCGACAGCTGTACCAACTAACTATAAATATTATTTATTATTGTACAACCTAAAATCAGATTGTATTAGACTATTTTTAGAGAAACAATATTATAATTTTAACGATAAGATAACAATAATAAATTACAACTCGTGATGTGTGATTGTTACAAGAAATTGGTCAGGCAATAAAACGACAATAATAAAATACGGTATAACACTATAACTTACGACATGACAAAATATATAAAATTATGTTTATTTTTGTTATTCTTATCAGAAAATAAATCATCAAATGTAGAAAATGTAATGTGGTATTATATGAATGATTAATTTAACTATTGTTAAAAAAATGTACCTACGTAATATAATTTAAATTATTTTAAAACTTGATATCTCTACCTAATATTTTCTGTTGATTTTTTTTTTTAATTATAAATTATAAAATTATAATAATAATCATAGAATTATAAATTAATCAACAACTACTATTCCTACCTACAGGCTACAATAGGTTGTGCAGTATCTTAGATACAATATTGATACAAGATACTCGATAAAGTACATAATACTGTACAGTTCAAAGTTGAAATTCGTGAAAATTTAATGGTCCGGGTGCTGGGGTAACGTTACCGCAGCACCCGTAAGATGAATTTGGATTTTGGGGGGGGGGTATGAGTGTTGTACGAAATTTAATTTTGGTTGTACAAAATTGTACAAAATAAAGTACATAATACTGTACGGTGCAATTGTGCAAAGTTGAAATTCGTGAAAATTTAATGGTCCGGGTGCTGGGGTAACGTTACCGCAGCACCCGTAAGATGAATTTGGATTTTGGGGGGGTATGAGTGTTGTACGAAATTTAATTTTGGTTGTACAAAATTGTACACAATAAAGTACATAATACTGTACGGTGCAAAGTTGAAATTCGTGAAAATTTAATGGTCCGGGTGCTGGGGTAACGTTACCGCAGCACCCGTAAGATGAATTTGGATTTTGGGGGGGTATGAGTGTTGTACGAAATTTAATTTTGGTTGTACAAAATTGTACACAATAAAGTACATAATACTGTACGGTGCAAAGTTGAAATTCGTGAAAATTTAATGGTCCGGGTGCTGGGGTAACGTTACCGCAGCACCCGTAAGATGAATTTGGATTTTGGGGGGGTATGAGTGTTGTACGAAATTTAATTTTGGTTGTACAAAATTGTACATAATAAAGTATATAATACTGCGTGATTACAATCCGTGATTTTGAAAGTACGGGTGCTGGGGTAACGTACCTACAATAAGGATCCAGTAATAGTTTTCTGGAATGGAACGACGGATATAACATTAATTAAACGGTTAAGAATAAAGGGTATTTTAGCATTTTTAAATATATCAGCATATAGTATTAAAAATAATGATGAATTTAATCTAGAACTAACAAATTTAGAAACTAAAGAAGTTTTATATTCAGGGTATTTAGGAAAATTAAATAAAAAAAAGTCAGAATGTTAAGACTATCAGAAGCGCATGGATTAATGAGCGATACTAATCATAATATTACGTATTACGTAATCTTAACAAAATGTCTATTCAATTATGTAGTTTCAAAAATAAGACCCATATATATATATATAAATTAACGAGAAAGGTAAAAACATAATTAAAGTAAATTTTAAGTAAAAAAAAATTTATGGTTGAATATGTGTATGACAATTTTAATAATTATTCATATAGATTTAGTATAATAATTAATTGGTGGAAGATAATAATAATTATTGTAATCAAGGGGAAATACTTACATTATATACCTACACTTTTAATATTGTAATTTCAGGTACAAATATTATTTTATTGTTTTGAAAGAATTATTACTCATTCTTACTAACACTAATCATTTAATAATTTATGTATTAATTTTATTCTTACTAATCACGATATATAACTTTTAATATATTATATAATAAATATGTAACAGTAATTATGTATGACACTAAAAATTGTAAATGTCTACACTGTAATATCAAAATTGTAAACTATTATAACAAATTGTAATCGAATGTATGTCAAATTATAAACCAACTATTGTGATTAATTAACTTAACTATGATTGTTAAAGATTCTTAACCCTTAAAGGTTAACAATCTTTTTTTTCGTGGGGAGGTGTAATGGGATTACACAATTCATGTACAACGCTCATAATAACAAGAACCACTTATGTGGAAGGCGGCCTCGTCGACCGCACCCAAAAGTGGTCATAGCTAGAATAGACGCTTCAAACCACAACAACTTCCCAAGGGCTGCCACGCGCCGCTCAATTCAAAGGGCGTCGCCTTCGTATATTCGTATATATAGAGGCCAGGTCCCCAATACACATTAGATGTACCAGAGCCGCCAAGACCGAGCCAGCAGCTTATGCACCAGCCATTA